GCTGGTCGGCCGTCGGCATGGTGGTGGGTGCGACTCGTCGGCAGCTGGGCAGATCTGCGGGATTGTACCCTTGTCTGGCCCTTGACAGCGCGGGCAACTACGGGGGAAACCCTAGATCTCCTTGGGATCGAGCGATGGCGGCGCTTTTGCGTCGTAGTCCCTCTTTAGGGCATTGTTTTGGAGTTTGCTCCGGTTGAAGGGACCAGCGACGTCGGCGGCGCACGTCTGGTGGAGCAACTGCCGATGAAAATCGCGCCGACTACGGCCATGGCGGACGATGGCGGCGTCCTAGATGTCGTTCCCTTGTCGAGGCATCGTCGTTGCAGTCTGCGTCATCACGCTCGGGATGCTCCGGGGGAAACCCTAGATCTGGGTCTTCCGGATCGGACGATGATGGCGTTTTATCGCTTTCCCTCCTGGGGGCATCGTTTTGGAGTAAGTGCTGGCTGGGGGGATGGTGGAGCGGTGCTTCATCTCACACATCGATGGCGGCGGATATCGGCAGCATGACGCTGTGGAGGCTCGGAGTCCGATGCACGGAGATGGACACGCGTAGGAGGAGGTTGCTGTCTGGCGTCATGGTGACGTCGATGGCAGAGTGGCCAGACAAGGTAGAAGCCTCAATATGATCTGAAGACGGACCTGTGGAAGATGGCGGCGACGACACACGAGTGCGTCTGACCGGATTGTGCTCCAGACCCGGTATGTGGCTCGGCTGGGGCTTCCGAATATGTTTCAGCTTCCGGCTTTTGACGTTAGGCTTAGGTGAGTGGTTTGGGTAGTGGCCCAGCTAGCACCCCTTCATCATTTTGGATAGGAGTAGCGGCATGTGTTGCCAAGATGGTGGATTCAGGCACATTGTTGTAATACTTTGTAAGGTCCTCGAGAATAATCAATAAAGTGGCCGTATACATCTCCCAGATGCAGAGGCCGGGGGTCATCCTCCTTTTCTAAAAAAAACATCAATAAATACCTTGGTCAAAGTATTAATAGGAAAATTGGCACATCAATATATGGATGCATGCATGCTTGGTCAATCCCGCCAGCGCAGAAAGTCTCCCAGCTACAGCGCCTACGATGTGTGCTGGAGCTGCCATTTTTCTCAAATGGGAGAAAGAAACAGAGCAACTTCATACATATGCTTTCTTGATACTAGCCTTCTAGGTCGTTCAGGCGGACAGTGCATACATGTTCGACTTTGGCGGCGCCCATGCTCGGGCCTTGATCTCTCCTCAGTCCTCACACACGAGCTCGATCGGTCTTCCTGCTCCTTCAGGTAACCATGAAAGGAATCCCTGTTCTCAATCTTTTTCTGCTCCTTTATCCTACTTGATATGCATTTTTGGGCTTCCAATATGTCTAGTTTTCACTCCTAGTTTGGCCAAGTTTACTCTGTTCATCCACGATCCTAGCAAGAAGATTCATTTTGCTAAGCTTCTTGCAATTATTAGTATTGTTTTGTTACTCAAAGATGTGGATGTTCTGCTTTGCATCCATCAGCTGATGTTCATATTTCCATGATTCAGTCTACTGGATAACTTTTTTTTCTATGCTTGCAGGTTGTGTGGCTCTCTAGGTGTATCTTTGTCACTAAACAAGAGCACTATCCTCCATTTTTTCACATTTTCTCGCTCCAAATCCCATCAAGAAAATCACAATGTTCTTGTACTATGCAACTGCTCCTAGAGACACCCTATAGTAAAACTGAAATCTCCATTCTTTTTCCATGGTACACCAATCACCGCAATATAATGGTGTTCCCAACCCTACCAGGTACCCTCATGTTGTTAGTTCTCTTTCCAATTGCCATGGTGGCTGATAATGATTCCATGGACTCTGGCCTCATCCTCCTAAATTGCGGAGGATCAGGGCAAGAGGTTGATAGTGGTGGTCGTACTTGGGACGGGGACAACGGCTCCAAGTTCACACCATCTGTGGAAGGAGTTGCAGCCAGTGCTTCATACCAAGACCCTTCCCTCCCCTCCATGGTCCCTTACATGACTGCACACATCTTCACTTCAAATTACACCTATTCCTTCCCCGTTAGACCAGGCCGCATGTTCTTACGTCTTTACTTCTATCCAGTTGCTTATGGAAACTATGTTACCCCCGATGCCATTTTTGGTGTCATGGCAGAAAATCTTGTCCTCTTAAATGGTTACAATGCTTCGCAAACAGCTCAAGCAATCAATTATGCCTACCTTGTCCGTGAGTTCTCGTTGAATGTTTTTTCACATAGCTTGGACCTCACCTTTTCACCATCAGCATTTCAGAATGGTTCATATGCATTTATCAATGGCATTGAGATTGTGCCCACGCCTGACATCTTCACAACACCTGACGCAACTTTTGTCCATGGTGATTACATAGCACCATTCACATCTTTCGCTAACACAGCCTTCCAGACTATGTACCGTCAATGTCGGGGGCCAAGCCATTTCCCCGAAAGATGACACGGGCTATTATCGCTCATGGGACGATGATTCCCCATACATATATGGTGCCGGCTATGGGGTGACCTACTCCAAAGATCCTAATGTGACCATCATGTATACACCCACAGTGCCGAATTACACAGCGCCACTTGATGTCTATGGTACAGCTCGGTCGATGGGGCCAGATCCACAGCTCAACCTCAACTACAACCTTACATGGATTTTGCCGGTTGATGCCGGATTCGTGTACCTCCTAAGGTTCCATCTCTGTGAGATTCAGTCTACTTTTACCTTGCAAAATCAGAGGACTTTCTACATCTACATCAACAACCAGACAGCGTGTGACCCCATGGATGTAATCTTCTGGAGCGGAGGAATTGGTAGACCAATATACAAAGACTATGTTATCGTGGCTAGTGGTTCCGGTCAGGTGGACATGTGGATTGCACTGCACCCTTATATTTCAAGTAGATCACAATATTATGATGCAATACTGAATGGTCTTGAGGTCTTTAAGCTACAGGGTCACGGATCGAACAATCTGTAATGGCCGGCGCCCGAAGGAGGGGGGATCGATCACTACAGGGAGGGGATCGGGGATGAGAGGTAGCAGGAGGAGTAGGTGAGGAGAGATGAAGGGGATGAGTAGTTCAGATACTTCTTTTTCATTCATGCCTGTTCAGTCTGTCTCGCTGGGTTAAGTACATTCAGTTACACAGCCTCTGGCCACAGACGGCCTGTTACACTGATGGGCTCAGCCCACACATGCCTGGTCATCTCTCCTATCTAGTCCACCGATGTGGCAGCATCAGGTGTGACATGCTCTCCTCCTTGAGCGGAAGCGACATTATCCCAGCAAGGAGCCTGTGGGTAGCGGTGACGCAGCACGGTGTAGTCCTCCCATGTAGCCGAATCAGGTGACAATGATGACCACTGGACGCGTACCTGGACGATTGCACTGCTCCCCTTCTTGACCATGCGGCGCTCGAGGATGGCCACCGGCTGCAGAGGTGCAGCGGACAGGTCGGGTGTGCGCGGAAGCTCGGAGAAGACCGGCGAGTAGTCTTGCGTGAACGGCTTGAGCTGCGAAACATGAAAGACGGGGTGAATGCGACTGTTCTGTGGTAGCTCCAGCTTGTACGCCATGGCGCCCACGCGCTGCTCGACCGTGAAGGGGCCAAAGAATTTATATGCCAGCTTGGGACAGGGGCGGTTGGCCACTGTGGATTGGACATATGGCTGGAGTTTGAGCAGCACTTGATCACCCACATTAAACGAGCGCTCAATCCTGTGTCTGTCTGCCTGTTGCTTGCATCGGTTCTGTGCACGGGCCAGTTGCGCGCGTAGCTTGTCGTTGTGAGTGACCCAGTCCAGTTCATCCCCTGTGTGCTCGGGCAAGTGAGTTGCAATCGCTGGCAGTCCCCCAAGGTTTGCTTCTTTGCCGTACAGAGCTTGAAAAGGAGAAGTGTTCAGCGAGGAATGGTACGAGGTGTTGTACCAGAACTCCGCAGTTGGCAGCCACTTGCGCCAATGCTTGGGGTTGTCATGAACGGCACAACGAAGGTACATCTCGAGGCACTGATTGACGCGTTCGCTTTGTCCGTCCGTCTGAGGATGGTACGCCGTGGAGAAGCTTAGCTTGGTGCCGGCTGCGTCGAGAAGTGCCCGCCACATGTTGCTGGTGAATATCTTGTCGCGGTCCGAGACAATTGACATCGGCACGCCGTGGAGCTTGATGATATTGTCCCAGAATGCTCGGGCCACCGTTGCTGCCGTGAAAGGGTGACTGAGTGGCACGAAATGCGCGTACTTGGTGAAGCGGTCGACGACGACCATGATCACCTTGTAGCCTTCTGAACAGGGCAGCCCCTCGATGAAATCCATAGTGAGGTCTTGCCATGGCTCGGTAGGGATTGGTAGAGGCTGGAGCAGACCTGGAGGTTTTGTGTGCTCGTGCTTGGCATGTTGGCAGATAGAGCATTGGCGAACAAAGTCCTCGACTGCTTGCTTCAAACCTCGCCAGGTGAACTGCTTCTTGACTCGTTGATAGGTGGCTGCCACGCCAGAGTGCCCACCCACCGCGCTGGCATGGAAGGCGCTAATCAACTTGGTCTGGAGGGCTGTGTTCGCACCGATCCAGAGCTTGTCATGGAGGCGGATGACACCTTGTCGCAGCTCGTAGCCGTGCTCATCTGGACTGGAGATGGCCAGCCGTTGGAGCATGTCTTGCGCGTCCTTGTTTGTCTCGTAGGAGTTGGCGACCTTCTGGAGCCATTGCGGCTGACAGATGGAGAGAGCGTCGATGGAGAGAAGGTGACCCACGCGGGAGAGGGCGTCCGCTGCACCGTTGTCGGGGCCGCGCCGGTACTTGAAGGAGAATTGAAGCCCCACCATCTTGGACATGGCCTTGCGCTGCAGCTCCGTCTTCAAGTGCTGATCACCCAAGCTGCATAGGCTCTTGTGGTCCGTGACGATGACGAAAGGAGCTCGTTGAAGATAGGCGCGCCACTTGTCGATCGCCATGATCACGGCGAGGAACTCCTTCTCGTAAATGGAGAGGCGTTGATTGCGCACTCCAAGAGCCTTGCTGAGGTAGGCAATCGGATGCCCATCTTGGACGAGGACCGCGCCCACCCCGGTGTCACAAGCATCGGTTTCGATGGAGAAGGGCCGGGAGAAATCCGGCAGGGCCAGCACCGGCGTATTCACCATGGCTTTCTTGAGAAGCTCGAACGCCGCCTGTGCTTGCTCGGTCCACACAAAGCCCTTTTTGGTGAGCAATTGAGTGAGAGGCTTGGCGAGGATTCCATAGCGCGGAACAAACTTGCGGTAGTAGCCGGTGAGGCCGAGGAAGCCCCGTAATTCTGTGGCATTGGTTGGGGTAGGCCACGCTTGCATAGCACTCGTCTTGCTGGCGTCGGTGGCCACGCCGTCTCGAGAGATCACATGGCCGAGGTACTCAATTTGCGGCTGGGCAAAGGAACACTTGGACTCTTTGGCGTAAAGTTGATGTTGACGCAAGATGGTGAAGACGGTGCGCAAGTGCTCCACATGTGCCTGCAAGGTTCTGCTGAAAACCAATATGTCATCCAGAAATGAGATCACAAACTTACGGTTTGGTCCTTCGAAGACGGAGTTCATAAGGCACTGAAAAGTTGGCGGCCCATTGGTGACGCCGAAGGGCATCACCCGGAATTGGAAATGACCGTGATGTGTTTTAAACGCCGTCTTTTCCTCATCACCTTCACGCATCCGGATTTGATGGTAGCCCGCCCGTAAATCAATCTTGGAGAAATATGCCGCTCCTGCTAACTCATCCAGCAGCTCATCGATCACGGGAAGAGGAAACTTGTTCTTGATTGTTACTAGATTCAAGCGCCGATAGTCAACACAGAACCTCCATGTCCCGTCCTTTTTCTTGACTAAGAGAACAGGTGCCGCGAAGGGGCTCATGCTGTGAGTAATCAGACCAGTGCGAAGCATCTCACTGACTTGTCTCTCAATCTCGTCTTTTTGGAGTGGCGAGTAGCGGTAGGGTCTGCAATTGACCGGGGCTGCCCCTGGTTCCAGTGAGATGGCATGATCGTACTGCCTGTGTGGGGGAAGCTTTGTTGGCTCGGCGAAGACATCGCTGAATTCTGTCAGTACTTGTTGTATGACTGGAGGAATTGGTTCTTTGCCTTCTGCTGTAGGGGTGATGTGAATTTCGAGCAGAGCAGCCCCCCAAATGTCATTCTCCTCATGCATCTGCCAGAGCGTTGCGGCGTCCAGGGTTGTAATCGTCGGCTGCTCGTCCGTGCGTACACCTGTTAATAGGACTGCGATATCTTGCCTAGTGAATTGCATGGTCTTCAGTTGCCAGTCGCATTGCATCGGGCTGTGCTCTGCGAGTCAATCCATTCCCAATACTGCATCGTAGGCTCCCAATTCGAGCACGCGCATGTCGGTGAGGAACTCGTGGCCTTGGCACTGCCACTGCAGTCGAGGTACCAGCTCGGTGCAGGTCAGACGCTGGCCGTTGGCGACGCGCACGGTGATCGCGGAAATACGCATGGTCTTTGCTCCAATACGTGTGGCAAATGTGGTGCTGACAAAACTGTTAGTACTGCCTGAATCCACCAAGAGCAGCATTGTTTGGTTTCCCACTGTTGCTCGCAACCTGATCGTTTCTGCCATTTCAGTTCCATCAACGGCATGTGCTGACAAAAGGCAGCAGGCCGGTTCTTGAGCATCTGGTTCATCAAGCAACTCCAGTGCGCGCACAGCATCGTCCGAGAGAACTTCGCCGTGCTCCCCCACTTCAATGCTGAGGAGTTGTGCTGTACGCTGACACTGGTGCTCCCGCGAGTACTTATCGCCACAACGAAAACATAGTCCGTGTTGTCTTCTGTAGTCTCCTAACTGGCGCTCTCGACCGAAATCATCGGTTGCTGGGCGCGGGGCCGGTGCCGCGCGAGGTGCCACAGCCGCTGGTGGCACAGGTGGTGGTGGTGGTGGGCGGCCCGTCGCTGGCAACGCCGCGGGCAGAGGTGGAGGTCGACTGGTGATTGTTGGTCTGAATCGCGGGCGTTGCAAGTCGAGCTCCTCTTCTTGGATACGGGCGAACACTGTAGCCCGCGTGATGCTGGTCGGGGCTTGTAAGCGCACAGCGGCACGGAGCTCGTCTTTGAGACCCAACAGAAACTGGGTCACAAAGAACTTGGGACTGAGGGTGGCGTCAAGAGCGAGCAGATTACACATGTATACTTCAAACTGCTGCCTGTACTCCACCACAGGGCCCGTCTGTCGCAGTTGCAGAAGATTGTGCATCAGTGATTCAAACTCCTCAGGACCGAATTCTTCCTCAATTGCTCGCCGAAACATGTCCCAGGAGATCACCTGGTGTTGCTGACGAAACGCTCGTAACCAGAGTGCCGCGTGCCCTTCCACGTACAGTGCTGCCGTCGCCACCCAGTTGAGCGGTGGCACACGGTAGAGCTCGAAATATGCGAGGCAACGATCCAGCCACACCCGAGGCAGTTCGCCATCGAATCGTGGAAAATTATGCTTCGGTGGCTTGGTGGTGTACTCGTCCCGTGGAGCTGGTAGCTGGGTGCGCTCCCCTGATGGTTGGTGCTCGGGACGAGCGAGCAGGGGAGGGCCCTCATTGGTGAGCCGGGCAAAGGGGATCTGGCTGGTGAAAGCTTGCGGAATCGGCAGTGTGCTCGGGGGCGGCGCGGTGCGCGGCTCAGGAGGAGGCGTCTGGAGCACAACCTCTGGTTGTTGGAGCCCGTTGTTGGCCACATGTGCTCGCCGGCCCGCCGCGGAAGGATCGTCCACTTGCGAGACCGCGGAGGGGGCTGAATCAGCCGGGGAGGCCATCTTGCGCACGTCGTCGACCTCGGCTTGTGTAAGCCCGATCTGTTTGGACAAGCTCTGCAACTCGTGGGAGACTTGAGTGTTGAACGCCGTCTGCGCCTCAGCTCTCTTCTCCGCCAGGCCCTTCTCCTCGTCAAATCTGGACAGGAGCTTCTCCATGAGAACAGTGAGGTTGGCTGTCTGTCCTTCCATGGCGGCAATAACTTGCCGTGCCTGCGCAGAGGGCTTGGAGGGCGCCGTGGTTCCCGCCCTGAGTAGATCGAACCCCGCCAAGGATTTCGGGCGACCTCACCGGAGTGAAATCGCACCTACGGCGGTGGATGTTACCGATCTGACCAAGGGAGTGAGGAAAACCGCGGCGGAAAAATTTTCTGGGTAAATTCGTTGGCTCTGAGATACCAAATTGTAATGACCGGCGCCCGAAGGAGGGGGGATCGATCACTACAGGGAGGGGATCGGGGATGAGAGGTAGCAGGAGGAGTAGGTGAGGAGAGATGAAGGGGATGAGTAGTTCGGATACTTCTTTTTCATTCATGCCTGTTCAGTCTGTCTCGCTGGGTTAAGTACATTCAGTTACACAGCCTCTGGCCACAGACGGCCTGTTACACTGATGGGCTCAGCCCACACATGCCTGGTCATCTCTCCTATCTAGTCCACCGATGTGGCAGCATCAGGTGTGACACAATCTTGCTGAGCTCAATCCTCCAATTCCACAAAAGCTTGATGTGGATCCTAATAGGCTGTCTAGCGGTGTACGAAAATCCAAAGGTGACATACTAGCAGCCATCGGTGGCGGATTTGCTTTGATGTTGATTGTTCTTTTCAGTATGTGTGTTATCTGCAGACGGAAGAAGGTCGTGAAGATTTCTTGCAAAACCAGCTATGCATATCGGAATCGTCCCACATGTGATCTTGTCCATCACTTCTCATTTGAAGAAATTCAACTTGCCACCAAAGATTTTGATGAAGCACATATCATCGGCAGAGGCGGTTTTGGGAACGTCTACAGCGGTGAGATAGATGGAGGGACAAAGGTGGCGATCAAGCGACTCAACCAGGAATCCCAACAAGGCATTCATGAGTTCCAGACTGAACTCGAGATGTTGTGCCATTTCCGCCATGGCCACCTTGTATCTTTGATTGGCTACTGCAGGGACAAGAATGAGATGATTATGGTCTATGACTACATGCCTCATGGAACACTGCGTGAGCATCTGTACGGCACCAGAAACCCATCACTATCATGGAAGCAGCGCCTTAATATTTGCATCGGTGCAGCCCGAGGGCTGCATTACCTCCACACTGGTACAGAGCAAGGAATCATCCACCGCGACGTTAAGACCACCAACATCCTACTGGATGATAGGTTAATGGCGAAAGTTTCTGACTTTGGTCTATCTAGGGCATGTACAGACATTGACAATGCGCATGTGAGCACCGCAGTGAAGGGCTCCTTTGGATATTTTGATCCGGAATACTTCCTGCTGCGACGTCTCACCAAAAAATCAGATGTGTACTCCTTCCGGGTCGTGTTGTTGGAGATTCTGTGTGCACGCCCTGTGATAAACACTGAGCTCCCGGACGAGCAAGTGAGCTTGCGTGACTGGGCGCTATCTTGCCAAGAAAAAGGTGTACTCGAGAAGATTATTGACCCCTGTGTTAAGGAGGAGATCACCCCAAAATGCCTCAGGATATTTGCAGAGCTAGCGGAGAAATGTGTTGCTCATCGTAGCATCGATAGGCCATCAATGGGTGATGTACTCCAGAATCTGGAGGTCGCACTCAGGGTGCAGGACAGTAACAACTATGCCAGGGGGCCATCGTCTCTTCAGATCATCAGTCTAGTGAACTCATACAAATCATCAACCCACTCAATAACTGACATCGCTGCACAGGGAGACATTTTCAGATATTTTACATCCGGAAGGCCGATAAAAGCAAACTGCAGGTCAGGAATTTTATTTTATTTACATGTTCATCGTTGCCTAACCTGTATGTTCAATATAGTATATATGAGGCCATGTTCTAGTGACCTTGCATAATACTCTCAGATAATTTATTCTGCAGATAATAAAAGGACATGTCACATATTTTACACAAGTGAACCCTACAGGATGGAGACAAACATTTCAATGCAAAGGTACTATTCGTTGTCCCTTATCAGTGTATATAGTTAATCTGCTTTCTTAATCTCCTCCTGTCGATTCCATTCCATCTTATTAGTTACTGCACTGGTATGCTAGAGCCTTAATGCACTCTCCACCATTTTTGTTGGCTTGCCAGGAGTTGTGAAATGAGGAAGGAGGAGTAGCAGATTAAGGAGGCAAGAACTTTCATGGATCCAAGGATGTTTATGTTAAATTCCTGCTGATAGCTAGCCACGCAGAGTACAGCGTACCACTTGTCATCACCGGCATGGTTCGTCTGTACTACATGATGTTAATTATTAGCTAGGCTTGTGAATAGTGCAGAGTATATGAGGCCTGCAGCGATCAATATATCAACTTATTTACAATTGGCTCAGCAAGACAAAAATCTTGTAAAGGGATTGGTTCACAGGCAGGCAGTGAAGTGAAATGAGCCTGAAACATGGGTATCTTATCTTGCTACATGTTGTGTATACCTGTGGTTGTTGTCTTCCTTCTGTTGGGTGAACATGCATGCATGTTACTCCATCCGTTCCTAAATACAAGTCTTTTTAGAGATTTCATTATGAACCACATACGAAGCAAAATTAGTGAATATATGCTCTAAAATATGTCTATATATATCCGTATATTGTGTGTAGGGGAATCTTTAGAAAGATTTATATTTAGAAATGGATGACACTACTGGAATTTTCGTATATGCCGGGTGCCAGGCTCTTCACCGAGAGCCAAAACGCGGGCACTCGGCAAAGTAAGAGACACTGAGCGTGACTCTCGACAAAAGGAGCACCTTGGCAAACACATGATATTGCCGAGAGTAGACCTCAGCAAAAAGGCAACACTCGGCAAAGGCACTATTTGCCGAGAGCCAAGCAGTGCCGCACGACAATGTTCTGCCATGTGGCACATCCGGCGGCGGTTAACGGCACGACCACGGTTTGACTTCTTTACCGAGAGCAGCTCTCGGAAAATTAACTGTTGCCTATTTGGTTCCACCTCGCCTACCTCTATACATTGTCCGATAGTCCAACCGTTGAATTAAACTTCGGTGTTCATAATTAATAATATGTGGCTTTATTATTCAACTGTACCTGTATAGAGTGCTGCTCTCGCTAAGGCAACAGTTGCTGAGAGTAGCTCTCGGTAAAGATAAGGCTCCCATCAAACTTTCCCGGTAGCGGCATGGGAAATCCTTTGTGATGTCCTTGCGGCATATGCTTAGGCCTTGCACAGAGGCCTTGCACAGACGAGGGAGAACCGGGTTACCGAAAGTACCTCGGTGGCATGCTTGATGCAACCATTGAAATCCTCAGACAATCGTATGATGCCGAAATTCCTCGCGAGCTAGCACGGTGTCATCACATGGCCCATGTAAGGTGTGGTAAAAGTTTGGGCGCGTTTCGAATAAGCCTCCCCTAAGGCCACTTGTAAACCGCACATTTTTCGGGAACGTGTCCGATTTGTGCAGGAAGTGTGGTCCTGTTGCTTCGTTGGCCTCGAAACTTCTCGTGCTCTCAAGGGAGGCAATCGCATGACAGGTGCCATGCCCCACATTTTTCGGGCACGCGTGCAATATTCGAGATTTTTTTTTGCTCTACTAGGGTTTCATCGCCGGAAATTGCAGATCTGCAAGGCGTTCCATCAAACTTTCCTGGTAGCGGCATGGGAAATCCTTTGTGATGTCCTTGCGGCATGCCTAGGCCTTGCACAGACGAGGGACGGGCATGCCCTGCCACCGGGTTACCGAAAGTACCTCGGTGGCAAGCCTGATGCAACTGCTTGAAATCCTCGGAAAATTGTACAATGTCGAAATTCCTCGAGAGCTCGCACGGTGTCATCAAATGGCCCCTGTAGGGTGTGGTAAAACTTTGGGCGCGTTTCAAATAAGCCTCCCCTGAGGCCGCTTGTAAACCGCACCGTCTCTGAACTAGTCTATGGGTATCGAGAGGGAACTTGCCTGGTTTGTGCAGGAAGCGTGGGTCCTGTTGCTCCGTTGGCCTTGAAACTTCTCGTGCCCTCAGAGGAGGCAATATCATGACACATGCCACGCCTCCACATTTTTTCGGGCACGCGTGCTGTTGGGAATCGTTGCATGGAAAACAATATTTTTTCTATGCACCCGCAATGATCTATCCACGGAGATGCATAGCAACGAGGGGGAGAGTGTGTCTACGTACCATCGTAGACCGTAAGCGGAAGCGTTTCACAACGCGGTTGATGTAGTTGAACTTCTTCGCGCTTCAACCGATCAAGTACCGAATGCACGGCATCTCCGCGTTCTACACACGTTCATCTCGGTGAAGTCCCTCGCCTTCTTGATCCAGCAAGACGCCGAGGTAGTAGATGAGTTCCGTCAGCACGACGGCGTGGTGACGGTGATGGTGAAGTGATCTCCGCAGGGCTTCGCCTAAGCACTACGAAAATATGACCGGGGGTGTAAACGATGGAGGGGGCGCTGCACACGGCTAGGCAATTGTCTGGGGTG